CTGCGCCGCGTTGTAAAGATAGTCGTACGTTTATAAATCGGTAAATTCTTTAGACAGCATCCAGGAATAAAATGCCCCAGCTATTAGTCTACACAGCCCATCAGATACAGCAGCAGACTCGAAGGATGTATTCATCCGTTGAAAATGACAAATGGCAAAAGAAATTAGGGCTCGCGCAATCGAAAGTTTATGTAATTTCAGCAGAATTAGAATTCTACAACCATTTTCGGACTCGATTCAACAATAAAATTCTTGAACACAGTCGATGAACACTGATATCAATACAAACCAGAATTAAACATCACCAATTAATGAAATATGACAAATTTCAGTGAAGGTATTGGTGGTATTTTACAAGTTGTGATTCAAAAATTCAACCCGCGGGGAGATCGAAATTGCTGTCTCATTGACGCTCTCTTGTGGATACTTCCTAGGATCGCAGAATTCAGCACTTTAGCAACTAATTAGCTGTCCCAAAGCAACGACTTCCTTGTTTACTTCATGACATTGGGCAATGGTTCCATTACATTTGAACCCATGACAATTGCACCTGTATGCTATTGCATCTATGGAATTTTTTTTGTTTCACGGATAGTTAAACCCATACTAACCCTAACCCATGGGTTATAGCACCCGCATTTAGATTGAACCCGTGGATATACGCATGGGTTGTACGGTCACCTTGGGCAATCAATAAGCAAGATGCACAAAGTGACCTAACAATTCTCCCATTTCGCATCCGCTCAGACACTTTCCTCACTCAAACAGATTTTCAGGCTTGGTCGTAAACATTACCTCGTTTTAGCGTTTTTGAACTCTATTCGTTAGTTTTCAGTTGTGTTTCGGAAATTTAAATATAAATCAGATAATTCAATGATAACTCTATATTCTTAGGAGTTTTAATTTAACTGTAGTAATAAAAAATTAGTGTAGAAATAGCTGTGATAGACTGGGCTAAAATTTTTATCAGTACTTTCAAAAAACAGATTGTTGTATGCGTTGAATCATAATGATGGTTTGAAACACATACCCCATTTTACAGGCGCCAACTCGCGAAACCACTCTTAAAAAGAGCCCTGAAAATTTTGCAATGATAAAGTATAGAAAGAATTATTCGGGGGTCCAAGGTCGGGGAAAGGCCCATTGAGTCCAGGTTGCAAACTCTTACTATAAATTCGCGATCGAATTTTAAAACTGGATAAAGATTTGCTTCTGTGATGATAGATCACTCATCTGCATGATGCCTGCCCCTTCTTGTATTCTATTTATTACATTCTGAGATCTAGTATTTATGAACCAAAATAATGAGAAAATTCACAATGTTGCACGTTGTTATGGCAAGAAATTTTTGGGTAGCATCTTATGCTTGGCGATTCTATTTATTTTTCAATTCTCTCATTCAAAACTTCTTAAAATATAACACCAATGGATATCAAACCCTCTTCCTACATTCACGGTTGCAAATACGTGAACAAATAAAAATAATAAAAAGCCTTCTAGTAAAAAATACGATCTTTAACCACTGAAAATTTCAAAGCATTTGGTCCAGTGATAGAACAAAAAAGCGATTTTTTCATGAAGATGGGAAATTTTTTTTATCATGATGAACTAGAACAACAACTTAATAACAAAACGATCTATATGTCCAATTATAAAGTTGATTCCATCTGAGCAGTGACAGTATAACTAAATTAAATTAAAATCACAAGACTGACAAGCCATTGAGAATAGCTAAATAGTATACCAGAGCAAATGCAATCTATTGAAGTTATATAACGTCTAGAATAAATTTCATTTGCTGAAAGGAATGTTACAGTTTAATCGTAATACATCAGCATCCAAGATATAGGCTTACCATAAGCCGGGACAATGCAGATTTGACAAGCCAACTAATATCCCGAAATTAGACGAATAGATTTCTCCCAAATCGATTTAATCCAGATATCAGCCAGACACAGTGACCTGACAAACTATAAGAGAAAACCATTAAAAAAGCTTTTCCAGGTCCTGTGACAATGATCCATTCTTTATGATTCAGTTTCAACGTGCATTGAAATACCGACTGATCTGAGTCACTTCTGTATTACCAGATCAGGTACCGCAGTTCATCGCTCCCCAATAAAAATTTCCTACTTTTGCCGAGCACAAGATCCGCCACGTTCACTTACTTTAACCACGGAAAATTTTAAAGCAATTGGTCCGGCAATAAAAGAGAAAAGCTATTTTTTCATAACCATGAAATTCTATGATGAAGAAAATAACAAAACGATCCATATGTCCCCTCCGTGTCCGATAAGTACAAGCATAAAACAAAGCATGAATATACTAGTTCACTTACATTTAAATGAGGCTTTGTCAGAGCAGATAATCCCAATGTTAAAAATATATAATTCAAATCCAATGACTATAGTACCATTAAACAAGACTCATGAAACAGATCTTAACATAGACTAGAGTACCACACAGACAGTTAACCATACCAAGAAGCAATCAAGTAATCAACCAATAATCGCGATGTGATTGAATCATACGTAAACATACCGAAAGCAAGTGATATCAAGGTAAATCAGTTAAATGTTTGACGATGGCACTAAACCTGCTCACGCTGCGAGTTTTTAAATTACTGAATATACCAATTCGTAATAAAATGAGTGTCGCAAGAAAGGTGACATAAGGAAAACACGGCGGAAACGTACGGTATATATTATATCTTCTTTAAATGAACGCCACCCATGCAACATAATAATAGTCTGATTAGAACGGTAAACTCTCGTTGTTTATTTAATTTAAAGTAACTCGCGATATTTCGATCACTTTTGGGTTTACTCCGACTTGCGGCCCGCTAGACCTCGTTAAAAGTTTTTGCGGTCCTACAACCTAGCAACCTTGAACCACCCTGAGGTAGACTACTTGGTACCGGTAAAATTTCAAACTACAGTTGTGACTTGTATGCTTTGGTATTTCGATTCACGTTGAGACTGGGGGCATGAATCTTCATCGTCACACTTTCTCGGGATTAGAGCTCAACTGATATATCGGCCCGATATTGCGTGTTTGCCGATATATCATATCGGCAGTAAATGGCCGATATATATTGTTATATACTCGAAAAAGTTGTTTTATTTACTGTTGGTTGTGATTATTTTCAATGAATAATACACTTATTTGGTTTATAGTTTTTATAATTAAATTACACATGAGGGGCACCAAAGTCTTCAGTGCTTAGGGCACCAAAGGGGCTTAATCCGCCCCTGACCATAGGTCTCTGCTGTTATTCACCCATTGATGCATCGAACCCTTCATACGAAGCGAGTGAATAAGCGATTCAAGTACTCCATTCATATGTGATGCAGACGGCACATTATAATTTCAATCAAATGTTGTTTGATTGTCCGCCGTATCGTTTTGTATCAAGCGACGATCCCAGTTCTCTATCCATTCCGTGATAGGTGCTTGACTGGCTTGAAATGTAGTACCTCCATCTGAAAATCCGGCACTCCGGAAGTATGTGTACCAATGTGGAGGTAACTAGTTGTGTTCGACTACTTCGCACCAAGTTGTGTAAAGGGACTGAAACCTATGAGCAGGGGGTGTATTCATTTGGCTAAAACAGACAGTCCCCGAACTCTTAATAGACTAAAATAAAGAAAATCGGAATAAAATTATGGCCTAACCCTAGCCAGGTACACATACTACGGGAGTAACGAAAATACAAATGCAGAATGAATTTCACTTACAGATACAAACCGTCTCCATGCTCGAAGAAACGAATTAGTATCAGAGCAAGACTCAGTCCCAAATGAATAAAACGAGTGGTTGCACACGTAATGATTAAAACAGATGCGTTGGGAAATACGTTCAGAGATTGCTTCACTTTCAATCATCCGAAATCAGAATTGAATGGTGCCATCTGTGGTTGCATTCGAAATGAAGCAAGTATTTTACTCTGAATGATTCTTGGATAATCATACTGTTTGGAAATAGGTGATGGGATACTTAGCATACGATGACCCCATGTTACGGTTCAGCGTTGTTACACAAGGCCTTCGCGTCATTTCCTCCAGAGAGTCAGTTGAAACACCTATACTGAAATTTGTAATCCAAGCGCTACCAAACATTTGAACTGAGCAAAGCGAGCCATATTGAACACTGAAAAGTGTAACCTGTCAATTCTGTACTAAATCATGTCGACGTGTCACCCTGTCATTTGACGCGCTATTCTGAAATTATCCACCCGTTCTTTTATAAATTGAACAGAATCAAAACAGCCGAAAAATCTAATGAAAAATCAAGGTGTATTGCGATAGAAGAACAAAACAACAAGCAGTTACAAAAAATAGCGATGCAGAGCAATAATAATGGTAATAATAATGAAAATAAATCAAAAGTTTGGCGAATATTAATCTATCCGGGAATAAATCGAAGGCCAATCTGACTTCAAAAGAAACAATGATGAACAGCATAAATCTTGGTCCAAAACGTACAAAGATAAACAAAATTCGTTGCTGGCTATATATATTTTAAGCGGAAAATAATAATTAAAGCTGCAGATATTTTACACCAAATCAAAACAAAAACAACATTTAAAATAAACATAATAAAAAAAAATTCAAAAATGAAAACAGCAAGGGGAACATGATAAGATGGATACAACACAAAATAATATAGGAATGAACATTTTTTCCCGATTAGCACTACTCGCTTGCAAGAAAGTACGTAACGGGATGGGATGTCAAACACGGGATGGGATGTCGGAGTTTAGTGTTAGGCTGAATTCTATTACTCATCACGGGATGGACCAACCGAACCAAAACCTTGCTTTCTGTACGGAAGACCCAAGACTCAATTTTGAATCTCAAATTGGTCATATTATTAACAATACTGTATTTTTGTAACAATCTAATTTCAGCCAATGCTCTAAATAAATTAATTATAAACCCGTGATGTCTCGAAGTGGGCATTTTAACCTTGAATTTTTTGTTAGATTTTTCAAGCTGAAAAGCAAAGGTTTTATCCGATGAATCAATTTTCTCCGACTTTTTCGAAGAAATTGATTCAAGTTCGAATATTTATAGTCAGGAATATGTTATGTACAAAATCTAAGATATCTTAAAAGCTTTGTTTGGTTGCATTTCGTTGATAATTGTCTTTGCTTTCGTTTTGTTTTTCGTGTTTCATCATCTATATTTATCAAAATAACGAATAAAGTAAAGCATCGTGCAAATATACAGTGAAGCCAATGAACTTAATAAGCAGTTGTGTCAAAATAACAAACCGTGCGTAAAACTCGTTTTTGCGGACAAACCTATCATAAACATAAACGAAGAAAACAAATATAGAAAAGAAACATTTCTCGCATTGTTTTCAGACACGAAGTGGACCTGTGGATCATTTTGCTAAAAAATTCAGCATTCACATTAATTCTTTTTAGGGCGCCCAATATTCCACCCCAAAATACTTTTGTTTTTTTAAATTCACGGGACCATTGTACAACAGTTGGCGCTTGAATTTTGGTAATATTACGGTGACCGTACTACTCATTGTACAACAGTTTCCATATAATTTGATCATTGTTCTCTTGTTTACATGCAAATTAAGTTTTTGTTTTTACAGAAACAAAATTTGCGCCCATGGATTTTTACTTTACAGAAAGCGGTTATCTATCGATACATTACCGATGAAAAGTTTTGGAGAACCATTAATTTCGTCAATATTTTAACCCAAAATAGATTCTAAATAAATACTACATCACTCAAAAAGGAAAAAAAAACAATTAAGTTAAAATATAAAGACGTTTATTTTCTAATAACAACTGCTTATATACAAAGCAAAGTTGGAACCATTTCCAATTTGATAAATAATAAATTATCCGATTTCCAATTGACAAAACATGATTATCGAATCTAATATTCAATTGTGCCACAGGGCTGTTATTTTATCGTAATCATAATATAGAACTTTAGTTGGGAATTATACGGTCTATTGTCGAAATAAATGATACCGGTAGTTATATATGAGAAATAGTTGGCAGAAAAATGATGATGCCCTAATTACCCAATGATTGAATGGCTTCCAATCAGTACTATTGTAATTTCCCTGTTCTTAAATTCACTTTTTATTCATTTAAGCAGTGCATAAATGTCAATATGTCGTACATTATTCCGTAGCCGCGTTTTGCGTTTGTATATTGTTTGTTTAAATTACCAATCAAAGTAAGATAAGACGTGTTAGCCAAGGCGAAGACTTGACAACCATTTTGTTTTTCATGTACATATGACGAAGTCAAATAACAATACGAAAAGTGGGAAGTTTTTTAAATTTGCCTATTTTTGCTAAAATTTCATTTCAGTCGTTCAGTTGTACTGTTTCAAATTTTTTTTTCAATTTGCTCGCAATTTCACAAAGCATATCTCGTAGCATACATTGGGTGGCTCTTTATCCGTGCCATAGTCCTGAAGTTGCTTTACGGTGTAATGAGCTCATTCCGCGTATTTTTGCTCACTTGGAGGCATCCGAGAGCATTTTCAAACAGCGACACTTCCTTCCGGTATAAGAACTTCCGTTTCTTCAATCGTAGCTGGTCTTCTGACGGATCCGTTTCGAACTGGTCGGTTGTGGGTGTCGGCATGGCCGTTAGGTAACATGACGTCATCGTCGCCTGTTTCTAAGTCTTCTGTGGAATATGATGACGTTGGTCGGCTTGATGACGTACTGAGATGACGGCGAAGAGATTTGATGCCATTTTCGAGTTTGTGAACGTGTAATGTAACATCGATGCCCAGTGCTCTCAAATCTCTATAATTTGATAATATTGAAAAGATTGAAAATGACTATTAACTGAATTTCAAGATCTATTTATACTACAGCTTTTAAAATGATTAGGATTCAAATATCGATTAAAACAGAACGGAAATTTACGATATATATTAAATATAAAAAAATGGTAATTGTAAATTCTGAATGCTATATATCTAATAAATTTGGGCTACGTTTTTTTTCATGCGTAGGTGTTGAAATATAAATGGCCTCAGCAAAAGTTTGAATATTAATGTTAAATTTTTGATACGAACCGGGAGATAAACTAGCTTTCGGCGAACGGAATCTTTCGACTACGATATATAAGTATTTTATGCGACCTACAAGTCTATTTTCCACATTTAGAGTCATTCATTATATTTACTTACCCGATTGTTAGATTTGAAACTTTATCCAAAGTATCAAGACCACGAGCCAGGAATCTGTCTTTGTATTTGTCTAATTTTTGACATTTTAACCATTGTTCGACTGTGGATATTTCACCGTGATCTAGCGCATGTTGTAGATTAGGAGTTGCACTGAATAATGGAAAAAATATTTGCCGTGTTTTCAAAGTTTTTGACAATGTGCATTTTAGAAGGAATTGGTATTATCAATTAACATACTTATGATTTGCTCTTTTAGAATAATATGGAAATTGAAACCAGGTGTAATAATTTATTTTATATTCTGGCCATCCAAGAATGTTTATGTTGACAAAATGGTGGAAAAAGGGGGGGGCCTATTTTAAACTATTCTTAAAGAGGGGGTACAAAGCTGTTCGTAGTATGACGATCATCCATGAATACATGGATTTATTTCATTAAGAAAACTGTCTGATAGTAAGAAAATATCCTTTTACTCACCAAGCACCGGCTAGACTTGCTGAAGATGCGTTGCCAGTTATATTTCCATTTGGTCGAGGAGCTTTTTTGAGAGATTCAAGATCGCTGACAAGATCAATAAATTTCGGCCTTTTGTTTGGATCGAGTGACCAACATTCTAACATCTTTTCGTGAACAGCTTTTAAACAATTCTAAAAATTAAAGAATATGAGTTTAACGTTAACAACAATTCGATACTTTGACAAAGAAATTTATTTTCTGGATATAAGAATTTTTCCACCACTCGTATAAAACATCCTCATATTTTTTTTTAGGTTGAATGCATACAAAACTATTCATTGCTTAAATCTCGTCTCGACCTGAGAGTTCATAGAGAGGTCCTGGAACAAGTAGCCATGCCATTAATTTGAAGTGAATTGAATTTGATTTGTTATATTGTTTATTCCAATTCCATTTCCAGTTTGAATACAAAAAACCTATAGTTTCGTTAAAACTTACCGTAGGTGCAGGCAACCTCATTCCACTTTCAATGTTCTGAACGACCTGTTGATTGGTCATATCCCAGTACGGTTTTTCTCCGTAGGACATAACCTCCCACATTACGATTCCATAACTCCAAACGTCACTTGCTGAAGTAAATTGTCTGTATCGAATGCATTCAGGAGCAGCCCAGCGAATAGCAATTTTTCCACCCTGGTTAATATATAAATAACAACGGTAATTAAAACGAAAATTTCCAGTATTACATAGTATGTATTTTCAAATTAGATGTTCAACAGCAAGAAAATTGAAAAAGAGGGGCTCCCGAAGTATGCGAACCAAGATGGCGGACATCGGAATGTAATATGTGTACTAGGTTAGGGTTAGGCCATAATTTTAGGTATAAATACTACGGGAGGCTCTTGGCTAGTCTTCGAACTGATAATAGGACTAAAATAAGGAAGATTGGAAACAACTTATCGCCTAACCCTAACCTGTTACCCATGTTACGTTCCGATGTCCGCCATCTTGGTTCGCATACTTCGGGAGCACCGAAAAAGATATATGTTCACTGCATGGATACAACTTGACCAGCAGTTAACTAAGAGCGTATCAATTTGAATAATGGGTTACACTGTAAGTCTTAACCCCAATCTACGTCAATTTTGAATATTGTGAAAAGTTATTAAATTCATTGCTCATATTTCGCAAGAATGTGATTGGAAATGTTAATATAAGAATATAATTAGACGTTATATAACACTTCTGCTATATGCAGAAAAAACATGATATATGGTAAATTTTGAAAAGTGATACATGTAAATAAGTATTACATGAATGGTGATTGAATGGTATTTTTATAATTCAACTATTTTTATTATCAAAAATTTGGAATTTTCAGCTCTTTTTTTTTTAAAACAAATCGAGGATGGAAATTGAAGACATTGAATTGAAGCTAAACTTTTCTCTTTTCTTCCTTTTAGTTATTTTCTAGTATCTTGCAAAATAAACATTGATATTTATAACATATTAGAATACATTTCTCCTATCAAATTAACACAATATGCCATTTTTTGGAACAATCTATAGTTTTGAGAAGATATTCAGGCAACATCACATTCGGTCAAGCACAATATCACACCTATTACAGCATTTACAAGCTTGACCAAGTATAATATGATACAAATTTATTGCAACAATTATTTCACTTCAAGGGAATATACGTCAACATTTACGAAATTAGTGAAAAATATTTACTTTTGTGACAAATTTTGGGCCTAAAATAGACATTTTAGAGTTACATTGAAGTACGCTAATCACGTTTTTGACCACAAATTTATTGCTGCCACAAACAAAGTCATCTTTTAATCTTATTTTGGTTGTCTGCGTGACAAAAACCGAAGACGAACAAGGTATTGGTATTGGCACTTGTTCCGGTTGCTCATGGTAACCAAAAACAAGAGTGGCAACTGACAATAATGGTTGGTTTCATTATCACCTTTACTATAAGTCTCAACAACGGAAATCGAAATTTGTGTATAGGTAATACGCTATTATAAGTGTTGTCATAATAAAGGGTAAGAAAAGTCATCGTTAGATAGGAAATTCCATTAATTCGGTATAATTTGCACAGTGAAATCCAATGTTATATACAAGCAACTATAAAATGAATACCGGTAAGTTTCCTGGAACTTAGGTGACATGGGCTAAGCTCTGGTCCAGATGTCATGATAGTAATAAAGTAAAATTACATTTTTTTTATTATAATAACCTTGTATAGAGTGAATTTCCCACATAAAAAGTCAACTTGTCATATTTATTGGTTTTGGCATCAAAATAAAGTGAGATAATTATGGCGATCAAAAAAATCGGCTATATTGCAAGAAACGCATAATTTCCCACAGTCTAACAGAACATCAAAATGTAAAACGAAACTTCTCAATTCATTAAATTAAGTATCGAAACGCTGGGAATATCACGCAATAAACTTTCAAGGTAATGATACTGAGAAAGAGAATAAAGATCGCAATGGTAGGTGGATACGCTCAGCGCACAAATCCGCCATTTTCTAATTTAAAAATCATGTTACGCGAAATAGCTTTTTGCTTGGATTTGCTGGATAAAAAACAATACCATGGACTGAAAATAATAGGGCACGAATGCCAAGAGTCACAATTTTCTATACGTATGATCTGGGGGTTTCAAATACTTCAGTTCTGCAGTGTGCCGAAATATTACTATTACTATTCCAGCGCATAACCAGTTAATGATCACAATGTCGCAAAGAAGTTGATTGTGTAACAAAATTAAAATCAAATTTTACACGATAAAATTTTATTTGAAAAAGTTACTTGTTGTATCGACATTTTAACAAAAGCAACATTCTTCCTATACGATTTATATAATATCTATAAAAACAACATGAAATCATCTCGATATATCTCGCACTTGGAATTTGAATTTACAGTCAACAAACCAAGCTTTATGATATAATGTCTGACAAAAAAATGATTTGGAAAATTTCACATGCGGCACACTGTGATAAAACGCAGGAAAGATTACGAACAAATAATCAAATTGCTAAAAATAGAAGAATTGAAAATTCAAAATTGTACAATAATAATAACTTGAATATGATATTGAATTTATGTTTACTTTTGAAAGTAAAACTGATTTATATTTCACGTCAATCATTCTGAAATTCCGGGGATTGGTAGTAAAAAAAACGGTCTGGCAACAATGAAGGCTTTGAATTCATTAATTACAATAAAAATAGGATTTACATATAGTTGGGAAGTTGTTTATTCCAACGACACCAGTACAGTGCATTGCATTGTATCGAATAGGTAAAAATTATCAAGAGTGGCCAAGATCGTGATGCATTAGAATTTCAAAAGAACATTATGTGGCCTCGACTTGGCCATTTCCTAGAAAACAATTTAAGATGAAAACCTATAGACTATAACATGTTCAATGTACAAGTGTGAAGGACCGGATTGCATATAAGGTATGAGTTATTAAATTTCAACCAGATCCGGCTAGGAATAAACTCATGGAAATTTGACTCCAATTATTGTATCCGTATATCAATTTAATAAGAAATACGTACGGATTGATTTTTTACCTATTATTCGTGAAACTCGCTTGTAGTAAGAAATAAATCTTTTTCAAATTTAGAGCCGGACCCGGATTTCGAAAATTTCGACTCCACAAGCTACTAATATTTTCGCTGACGAGTTTATTATTTATTAAAAAATAATACTAAAAAAAGAGCTAAAATACCAAATTTTTGGATTAACATGAAGACTATATATATTGTGGAGAACACATCAATGGTATAATCTCCGTCTAATCCCCATATCTGTCAGCGAGTTTCAATTACGAAAATCAAAAATAGAAAACCATTTTATTCACAAAACAATGAATATTATGGAAAAACAACTTTTGAAATCAAATACACTTTAATGTGAAAGTGCTGACGTTTCTGCGTTTTTACAAATCGAGAATATTTGGAATATGAACTTTTTAAGTTTTACAAAAAAAATGGTACCGCTGAGGGAAACGTAGGCGTTGTCGAATATTTATTAAGATTAAGATCAATCGAATGATTTTTACGATTACTTGATAAACTAACTATTAACTGCTGTCTGTCATTTTTTATTGAACACAAATGTATCTATAGGTAATTTTGCAAAATGATTGTTGTTGTTGGGTTGTTGTTGTGAAAACCGCTTTTCTCAACAACTAATGGACCAATCGATCTCAAACATTTACAACATTAAAGTGGAAGAAGTTGACCCATAGCTGTACTTTAATTTTATTTTTTACTCCCACAAGGCCCAATATTTGGCCCCCAGATTTTTATGATTTTTTTCAAAGACACCTGGCACACCTTAATATAATATTCGCTACAATTCCTTTAACATTCGCCGGGAATTTTGCTGACATTGCGGTGGCCATATTAGTCAATAAACTCCCGTATCGATATATTTAAACATTGCTGATATTGTTCTTGTTTTTATTATATTGACAAATGATTTATGAATTTCATTTTAAAATGGCAATTCTAGCAAAATCTGTCAGTATATATCAGTATTTCCTAATCTATGGGTCGCTTGTTTTTTCAACAAAAACCCAAGAGGTACTAATTTTAATTTCTAGTAAATTTTATTATTTATTTTATATTTGATCATGGAGTGTTGCTCATTGATAATTGTATATGTGAGACGTATCAATTCGTAAAAACTTCAGTGTCGTTTAGTATTTGAGCATGTCCTTGAGTCGCGATTATTATTTAAAAAAAATTTTAGTTGCTCGAAAAAAAAAGATGTGAACCACTGTTATATCTGAATCTGATATTCAGCATACCTGTGTAGTGTATGTAGCATGCGGATCATTTTCCAGAGTTCTTGAGAGACCGAAGTCAGAAACTTTACAAATGAGATCGGAATTGACAAGGATGTTTCTCGCAGCTAAATCACGATGGACGTATTTCATCTTCGATAAATATGACATTCCACTTGCAATACCCTGTAGCATTCCCACTAATTGATGATGAACAATTTCTACACCATGTACCTGAGTAATATAAAGAAGATTATAAGACAATTCATTTTCATTCTAGCTAATATATGATCGTCTTTGGGTGGGAATGTTGGAGGATAATTGCAGTCTATCCGAAAATAATCTCACATATGAGAGTCTTATTCGAAGTGAAAAGGCTGCCAATAACGAAGCTGGCGATGCTTATTAAATAGGGCGAAGCAGGATAGTTCGTACATTCATGTTAGATATGGTATTAGTTAACTACTTGGATTAGACGTTCCGCAATGCATGGGTGATAAGCTTCCTATGGTACATAAATCGGCACTATCAAAAGTCTATTAAACGACATAATACTATTATTTCAAAACTGTTTAAATCTTACTCTCAAATATTCATCCAAGGATCCATTGTCCATGTATTCTGAGATAATCATGACAGGCCGACCTAAATAAAATAAAAACATATAATTGCCGATCTCTCATGCAAAAGATTCAACATAGAGATAACAAGGTTATACAACTGGTAACGATTGAGTAGATCATTTCTCCGAATGAAGGGGTTTTCAGCCATGGGTGAAAATACACCTTGGGGTATATCATCGAGAAAATTGTAATACGAACGATTTTAAAAATCGGACTGTAAAATGGTACAATATTATCAAATTTCTCAGTAACTTACTTTTTGTAATAACGCCCTTCAATTGCAATATATTAGAATGATCAAACTGAGCCATGCTACAAGCTTCTCTCAAAAAATTCGATTGATCTTTCACTGATGCTCCATGTTTCAGTTGTTTGACAGCGACTCGGAATGTGTCTCCACCTTGAGTAAGATTCCCATGGAGTACTTGTGCAAATTCACCTAAAAGTACATGAGTTGCAAGTTGTTAGATTGGTGTCATTGGTACAATAAGTGAACGACTATAGGAAGCTTATATTTTCTCTGCGCGAGGGGAATAGGATAACGCTGTTTAAAGCTGGGAGATGAAACTTTTTTTTCTGGCGTGATATATGTCTGGTTCAAATTCGCCTGACTAAGCGTGTAAAATAAGTAAGCTAAACATTAGGGATGTGTCAAATATGTCGTGTGATAATTACCGCACACTTTACATGCTTACTTTAACCACTTACCCCAAAATAACTATCTACCCCAACTCAGAACAGTGAGGCATTTGTGAACAAGTAGACTAAAAAATGTAAAACAAGTATATGCGACAAATATAGGACACCTTATACATTATAGGAATATATCGACTAATAAAAACATAGTACTTTTTTAGGCATAAGTGAATATTTGCATTGACTTGTTCGAAGCGAAATAGATAAAAATCTCCAAATACGACGGGTACTATATTTCTAGGTACACTATATCAGCTACACAAGGCAAACTACATACCTTCACCAATCAATTTATCCAAAACGTTCAGTTCTGTTGGGTCGAGTTCTTTATTCAAGTTTTTGACTGCTTGATTCGGATCCGAATATTCGACATAAATTCGATGACCTGGAGGTGGTAAATTGACTACGTGATGGTTAGCATGAGATAGCAGAAGCAAGCAAAATTAAAACTGCGATTATATTGAGTACACAAGGAAGGTGACCCAAAAACAAAACCCTGGTCATTTGTAACATATTACATAGATAACATAACATTTTGTGGGCAAATCCACAATTTTTTCGTCGCGATAAGTTCTTATATTAGTTCTCTATACATAGCTGAATTCAAAACCCATTTGTATTTGCTAAATTTATTGATTGATAAATTAGTCAACTCAATTGTAGTAGCAATGAATGATGTTGATGTGATAATTTACATTTTAATTATTACAGTGCAAAATAAATTTTTCCTTTCTCTCAGAGTTTTTTTTCGTCGCATGGGAAATTAATGCGGTACAGAATTTCGGTGCAACAAAAGTGGACAACGGAAGAAAAAATGGTTGAGAACCACTGATATAGATATACCCATACACACATGATCATTCCTCAAATTCCATCTATGCTATGTTGCATTTTATGTCAACCTATTTTTTTTTCATGTGTTGATTACTCCGTTACATATCACATTAAATTAAAATTAATCAGTATTACATCAATTAGAACTCAGAAGACAGCGAAGAATAAATATTCCCCTCACCTATTAATGGTTCTTGAGCATGTCTCTGAGATCCCCCGTTTGTTATTGTATCTTTGCCGGTCATTCGACGTCCGCATTTATAATAGATAACTAATCCAACTATAACGAAGATGATTACAACAACTACCACAGCTATGATAACTATCGTCGTGGTATTGCCCTCAACTTGAGAAGACGGCGCATTGTCTAAAACAAAAGTACATAGTATAAAGGTTTGAAAGTTAAAAATGCTGGGCAATGGGATACGGCATTTTTCTTTTTTTGAATCCATAAAATCACTTACCGACGATTGACGTTGTTTCAAAATCATATCCAACACTGTAAGCCCCAAATCCCGCGGAATTTCCAGTTCGAATTCGAATGACGTATTTTGTATTTGGCTCCAAGTTTTCTATGAGTGCTGTTGTGGTATCCGTCTAAAATTATTGGCAAGATATGAAATTTAGCAAGGTGTACATGCTTTTACTAAAAGTTTTATTGAACCCGAAAGATATCGCTTTTTTGTCGTTGTTATTCTTGAAAAGTTTTTTCCGTAAGTGATAGGTCAATCGATTTAAAAAATTTATGCCTGAAGCCCCTAGAAGCCTTTTAAGTTCTAAATTTGTTTAAATGTCGTCCGAGTCGAACCTGTGGGACTCATCTGCAATTTTGATTTAACGCTTTTGAATGATCAGTTACGGATTTCGGTGTAAATCGGTACTACATGTCACCGGTACTACGGTTAATGATTAAAGTGTCATGTCCATTGCCCGCTTGTTTTATTTTACAAAATACCAAATTTTTGGCCATGAACATACAATGAAGCACCCATAAACATATTGTGAGCGTTCGTTTAATATAAATTGTCACTCCGAACGGCATAAAAATTATCCCGAAACACGCTAACCTCTTTCAAAATTGGCGCAATTCTAACTTTCGTTGTGACGTCATTCTTTGGTCTGATTTCAATTTCATATTTTCTGATGATGCCATTGGGTTGTTGCGGAGGTCGCCACTTGATTTCTACTGCTCTTTCGTTTCGTTTCGACAAATATACACTTGTAATAACGGAAGGAGCTGAAATAAAAATTTTGTATAGGTATACTAACTGTTTCATTTTAGAAGAAGCATACGTAATGGAATAATACATTTTAAATTTTATAAAGTTGAACTAATCAGTATGTTTTTCTTGTGAATCCTTATATATACCATCACTACATTCCGTAAACATCCCTAAAGAGCCAGCACAAGGCGTTTATGGCATATCATATAATGAAAATATACTGATGTTATTGATGAACGTTGCAAGAAACTGTTTATTATTTGGGCGATAACAACTAGAAAGATCTTGATAAAATTCCAATCGTTTTTGCAGCATTTTGAATCAAAATATCATACCAGGCAGCAGGAAAGTAAATAAAAACGTCATGTTATAATTTTAAACATTACGCGATTGGATGAAACAATTCGGATTAAGTGATTAGGCTTTTGTGTATTTCAAATGCATACAAGGCTATATAGGCTGCGGAACGGATGTGGTTAACCATTTAAAAATGTGACTTCAAATTATAAAATTCTTCGGTTTGATGGTTAACTCGAAATTAAATTATACGCTAAGTTTGGCAATTCAATTCAAAATTGGGTGATTGAGATAGGCTGATGAAGGTACGAATATTTTATTGATATTCGATACCGGTGACAATATGATACGATGCCCAAAAAACTGAATGATTTTTTATTACAAAATTAAAGCGCGATCACTGGGAAGTAGTAATAGTTCTGTGTATTGGCAAGGTCAATAAACTTTTCAAGTTCTAAATGGTAGGTCGGTGTGTATAAGTGGAGGTGTTTTCCTCGTGAAAACACGAAAAAAGACCAATTGTAATATCACTCACAAATATGTACAGCGCATGAATAAAAGTATCATTGCCACGAAAAATAAGACGAAAGACGTCATCAAAACAAAATTTGCAAATACCAGGAATCAAAGAATACACAGTAATCAAAAGCTGATGACAGCGACGTATTTGACATTTTAACAAAGAATACTTTTCATGTTTGACCGCGAAACTAAATATCTAATAAACATGAAGTTCAAGTACATGGTAACAAAAAAAAACAGGTTGAATTTCAAATATTTTGCGTCGAGAAGAAACTCGAAACATAGAAATATGCGGCGAATGTGGAGACGAAATTATACCAAATCTCTGATAGCGGTTAGTGCTGTAATTTATGTTAGTACCATATCTTGTCTACTTCAGTATTACACGAGTTTACAGTTGATTCTTGATTGGGGTCACTGATGGGCGGTAGGCGTATTAAAGTTTATACTCACTTAACACTTTATCATAAAGATATAGCCGAAGATAATTTTATGATGAAGCATTTTAATATAATTCTCCATATATATATATCTGCCGTATATATCTAACAGTACATAGTCGAGTCGATTAAATATCGAGTTTTTGTGGTATACCCTATAGCCTATAATATATGAGAATAATGATTACCGTCAAGTAATATGCCTATAGAGAGACGTTATTTTGGGCTGTGTTGATATTTTAAATTTGGTAATAGAAATCCGTATACTGCGATTGAATGAAGATTAAAATCATCTCCTCTTAATTCCATTCTTAAATATAGTTCAATGTTAATAATAAATTAATATTTAACTAAAACCCGACGTTAGGAATCCAATGTAAATTCTATTGCAAATAACACAACGATACGTATCTAATATTTGAATAGTAATAAATATAGTTTAATAGTCCGGAAGTCACACCCGCTCAAAATATATTTTTTTAATTTAACTCGAGTCCAACTAACAGTCAACTAAACGAGACGAGATTCAAAAGCGATGTACTTTTCGTCAGTTGTTGATTACATTTAAAATTAATCATAATTTGTACCATGTACCATCGTTTCTAGTTTTAGTTGAATGTCCGGGTTAAAGCCATATATATATCTTAGTAACTAGTAAGGTAGAAAACTTGCCAAATACACACATATTTTGATTGCATTGTTTCAATTATTGAATAGGCCTAAGTTGATGTTATCAATGTTTCGGTTTCTGGAAGTTTGAAGTCGGAGTCGAAATTTTCTTAAACCCGGAGGCGAGAGTCGCGATCGTTCCCAAATACGCCATTTAAACTGGAGTATGGAGTCGGAGTTGCGTGGCAAAAAATGACTCCAATAATTTATACTGAATATGCATACATGTTTGTATTATTCGATGTACATCTGGCTACTCATCCTTCAATTAGTGATGAAATATCAAATTCGGATATTCTCCGTTTGGAACATCTTAACAATTTATCCTAAGTTTGTTTAAAAATTGGGAATAGCGAACAAATTACCAAAGCGCTGACAATGACATTCAATTCACACCAAGCTGTATTTAAAATAACGATGACGACGGCAAGTCGCTTTTTCGTGTTATAACTCAGAAAGTATTCACCAAGACCGGTGTTTTTTAAATCCAATTACCTATTTTAAAAGTTGAGAAGGCGGCAAAATACTTTATTGGTGCCGAAAAGTGTAAATATTACATTTTCAAGGAAAAATAAACAATTAGTGGGATCGATTAAACAATTATTTCACCATTTCAAAACTGTCAATTACCATCAAAAAGAGTTTATGAGGACAATTTTCCTCATCAACAATTATGTTTGGGAAATAGATAAATCAAACTTGACAAGTTTCGTTCATGTTCTGCCCATTCATAATCAATAAATAGTTTAAAATTCTCCTTACCTGATTCTTTAGTAAACAGTTTTGTTTCGGTATATTCAGGGCTGGTTTTTGACAAATCTGAAACTCCATTTTCGGCAAAAATCTGAAAAAGTATGAAATGTGTGGTTATTAAAATATTAGGCGATAATTTATTTTAAGTACCCTACACTACAGGAACGCAACAAAATAAAATAAAAATGGCATACTTCAATTGAAAACGCGACCATTATCGGCCATTATCAAATAGTCTTACTTAACCCTAACTGTAAAAATCAGACAACATAGTACCACCTAGTTTTGACTAAAAAGGATGATACTCGTAACCTATTTTATCTTATCTTGTAATCGCAGTCACAATATTTTCATTCATGTAACATACACGTATGTACGGTCACGCAAAATGTCAATACTTGGCTGTCAGGCACACAAATTTTGAATGGTACGTAAAAAATGTCGAAAATCAAGTAGAAGAACAATGAAAAATCCATTACTAAATATCGGGGATGTCACCTGCCAGCACGACAATGTATTTGTGATTATATTTTTTATGTTAAAAAGTTAATATCTATAGAGCGTTGTATGACTCAAAGCCACTTGATTGACTGGTATTTTAAGGTTTTCTACAATCGCTTGTGTCGGCATTCGACAAACACAAAACTAATACAATTACCGGTATTGCGGGGAGCGCAATCTTAAAGTACCTGTAAATCACTTAACTATGCTCTACCACTGATAAAGGGACAAGTGTGACAAAGTGCGAAAAGTGCATTAAAAGGGACAAGTGTGGAATAAGCGGACTGACATACCTGAGACACCGGAATTTGATTTTGATTATATTATGCTCTAGTTTCAGGAGTGTGCAACCATTAATATACGGGACGGTCGGATACAAATAACAAGGTGAAATCACGAGCCGCACCTTCATTCAACATAGGCTTTCTGGCAGTTTTGGTTATTAATTGAAAAAGTCGTTTCGCGGGCCCCTCAGCTTTCAAAATTGGCACTTTTTCCGCGGGCCGCACATTTTTTCCTCGTGGGCCGCGATTGGTCCGCAGGGTGCACACCCCTGCTCTAATTCAAACCACTATTTTGGACAAAACAGGCATGGAGTCTGTGCATTGGACTTCGCCATATATGTAGCACTAATGTACACCAAGAAAGTGCCAAGAATCTAGATTGGAGATCATAATTTGTAGTCTATATAACGTGTTCCTCAACCTTAGGAATTATACGAAAAAATAAAAAAATAAACTTGACACCGACCAAAAAACATCATTAAAAAGGACTAGATAAAACTTAATAACAATTTTCTTATTTTCACTACCAAATCTCGTGGAATTGGTCGCCTCAATGCGATGAAAAATTATCGGAATTTAGCTGCTGCGTCATAATAAGATTAGGCAAAATTTAAAACATTGTTTCACTTATTATCGGAGCATCAAATTAAAAGGTGTGGCGATTTAATTTTTGAGAAACATAATTAACTTGTTATGATAGCCTTAATCTGGACTTGTAGTAATGTTTTTGAAACAAACATATATGCATGAATCATAATGTAAGCGTGTACAATATGTTTTTATTTAAAGGTATGAATACTTATGGAGTAAAGCTGAATCAAAATTAGGTAAAAATGGTTAATTTTAGTATAGGCGATATTTTAACTAAGAGCGGGAAGATTCGGGTTTTTCCACAAATGGTAGAAATTTAATCTTTTTAAACATGGCCAATTTCGAGACATAAAAAAAATTGCATATTAATAAGTTTTTGCATTGTGCATGTGTGGTGTCGCGAAAGGTCTTGTTTCAATTGTACCACACTTGTACTCAATTGTATGAATCCCACTCCACATGCGTACTCTACCCTTTTGTTTATTTAGTATGTATATCCTGACCTACAATATAGAATGAATATTACTGCAAATGCTTCTTCCAACCCTTTGATCCAGGTTTTATATCTATCCTAGCCAATAACAATAGGACAAGTGCAACAAGTGTGGAAGCACAAATGCGACAAGTGTGGTACACGATTGGAAAGTATAGTACAGAAGTGACAAGAGTGGTGAAAGTTCGACAAATGTGGTGCACGAGGGGGAAGTATAGTACACGGGGGTGAAGCGTGATGCAAGTGCGGTGCACGGGGAAGTATAGTCCAGGAGGTGCAAGTGCGACAAGTGTGGTACACGAAGTGAAAGTATAGTACATGAGGGACAAGCGTGGTGCAAGTGCGACAAGTATGGTACAAATTAGCCAAGTGGGGAAAGAGGGCCAAGTGAGACACGACATATTTGAGACACTCATCTGGCTGGCTGGTTTCATCATATTATTCCATCCCAAAATATGAAATTCTAACAGTATTTCGTATCTCTAAGATGATCACCGCACAGCGGTTTTTACACGCAAAACAGTGTAAGAGTATCCCCTTTTATCCACACGCGAATTACATATAATACATTTAATGATACCCTTACATATCAGGGCATCCTATAATCAAATTATAATTGGTTTTAGTTTGGGTCAAAGAAAAATCACACCTATTTGTGAGAGTAGTGTATGTACCAAGCATGCTTTAGTATTCGCCTTGCAATAATGAAACTAAATTTTTGTGGTAATGATAAAGGGAATTATAAACCGATTGAGTTACAAAAAAGTAAAATTTGTTTCATGGTGAAGTGATGTATAACAAAATAATTCTATTAGAACAACATGAAATTAGATATTTTACGGCCTGTTTTGAACACGAAGCATACCGGACGGTTTGCAAAATTCTCGTCTTGGTCGCTTTTCTGAGAAATTATAAAGATTTTCAGAATATTTATTTATTTTCAAAGTCTTCCCGAGTAGTATGGATCTCGATATCTCACACTGAATTTTGTTAGTTTTTTTATTTTTTCAAAAATCTCGGTGCTCCGCTGGGTACTTACCGGTACCGATGTGAATTACTACAGTGGGTGACTTGTGCTGGTTTCGAGTTTTCCAGTTTTGTTTCGTTAGATTCCCAATTATTTTCAAGTACTTTTAGTATGATCCGAATTAGATATTGCATGGGTATATGCTGTTGACCTGAAAGAACATAAAACTAACACCCATTCTCGGATGGTGACCATGGGAAAAAACACCAAATATCTGTCCCGCAATGCTGTTAGCTAACATTTATAAAAGAAAACATCAATTCTATGTAAGTTATGGTGATAGCTAGGATTGAATCCAAATAGATGACACTTGTAAATTGTATAATTTGCAGTCGTTTTTACCAACTTGGTAAATATTTTTCCTATTATAGTATAATTTATTGTTCGAGTCCATGTGTTGCCGAACATGATCATAATGAGACAAAACCTATAACCCTGTTACATCCATAATCCATTCATGGTCATAACATATTCAAATATACCATACGATATAAAAAGTAAACAAGGAATCAGTTCAACAATAGCTTCATGATTCATATATATGTAAAGCTTCCGTTGTAAAATCGAGTAAACAACAATAATATTTATTGAACGAGTAGCGCAATGAAGACAAATGAAAACAACAAACCGTATTCCTTGAAATTAGAATGATTAATAGCTTACAATACAAAATACATGTTATATCTGAAGAAGATTTTTTCAAATTGAAAATTTTGGTCACAAACGGATGGTTTAGAAATCATATTATATTTGGTATTATTATTTGATGTAAATATGATCGTATGAATCAAAAAAACTTTTCGAAATGTTAGTTACAATACTTTTGGTACACACTGGTTTTGATTAGCGCCCGTACCTCTTGTGCCACATTGTGGTGATGTGCTTCCATAATACGGAACAAAAAGAGTAGGACAAAATAATTTATTTTGAACTTCGCAGTGGTATAAATATTACTAAATTTTCCAAAATTTCTTCTGTGTTGCATTTAAATTGAATTCCGTGAAATTTTGAAAAATTTAGGTAGAGCAAGAGCATGCACTCAAAAATTGAGTCATTTCATTTGTAATCATTGTCATCACTAGGACGAATACTCTTTAAAGTGCCAGATCCCATTAGTACAGAACCGCATTTTACTTTTAATGGAGCGTGTAATTTTTTATGTGTATCCGCTTTAATCATTTTGTAATTATGCATAAATGACAGGAATAAAAAACCTATTAAATTAAGTATTTGCTTCCAAATAGGCGATAACATACATCAAAACATCAACTTTCGAATTTATTTATTTATTATTTTAACACCACAATCAGTATTTCCTGACAAAATGACAGGAGAACAAGTTGGGAGGTCCTTATTTATCCAGCTTTAATGAAATTATCAGGAGTTTTCATCAAGATCAACATAAATTATGTGGCATCGTAGTAATTTAAATTCGTTGTCAACAAGTACAAAACGTTAGTCAAGCAGAACATTTAGGTTTAGAATCGGGAATCTGGATTTCTTTAGTTAATATCTTTCAAGTTTTCATCCTCATAAAAAAGTAGTAGTAACATGAAAGATGGCTATAAACCCTTTGATTGATTAGTTTATTTCACATTTGGAGCCAAAATAAAAGAAAATCATCCGATTGAGATTCTAGTTAAGGCTAGCTGGAAACAGCTCGAATTTGAACTTCAGTTTGAAATCAGCAAAAGCGGTTTTCAACTCTTTAATTTTAAAGGTGACGAACTTAATCAATTGTAGTTTGTTACGTATTAAGTTTTTTACGACATTTGGCTGTTGTAGAATCATTGATGAAAGAACAGACACTTTTATACGAATGTTATGAACACACCGTACCGCTGTGTAAGTTGGAGGAATGCATTGCTATTGCGCTTATTTACCGCGCCGAAATCCATATTTCAAGGGTCTTTAAAATGTCGTTTCCCACCTATCCCGTTTTTAGCACATTTTGCTTCACTTATCCCCCATTATTCCCACTGTTAGTCAGGGTGCATATGTGTTGTGAGACAAATGTTTGAAGTAGGTATATGAAGTTGAATTCATGCTACATTCTGGGTTAGGAAAGATATAATAGTTTAGCAGAAGGTTTGGAGTAGTCATATAAGTGAGATTCACAAAAATAGAACGAGTGCGAGACAAGTAAGACACAGCATTTTTGTGACACAGTTAAAATCCTACCAATTTGATATATATCTACCTATACCTTTCAAGAAATGGCCGGCGTGGGATTTGGAATCAATATATTAAACATGGAGATACGAATTATGTAACATGGTAACAAACATGCCACCGCCCCCACTATTTATGTCAATCTATAGTGAATGCTTATATAATATGAAACACTAAACACTTATATAAAATAAAATGGGCCATCATTCCGTTGTGTAAATATTATGGGACTCAATAGTCGGGTTCACGTGACCTTAGATGGCCCGAAAACAAAGTATATTGTCCGATTATTTGGCTTCTGCGTCATCTCGATCGCCTCTGGGCGTTGTAAGCTGACAAGAAACGGAAGCATGATCTTTTTTATGATAAAAATGACAAGCTTATCGCCGTTTTATGTTCGGATGTTGATAAATTGCAGAAAGGCCTTTCCTAAGGTAGAAATCCATAAATTACATATAAATATGAAGAGGAAGAATCGAGTTTATAATCTTATCTATGATAATTTGAAAGCATAAAAGTCAGTAAACTTTTCTTGGAAATAATGATTAGATAAGATCAACCTTTTACGCGTTATTTTTTCCTTTTTTTGCGCGTGGGAAAATATACGCATATTTAATAATTCTGTCCGCGGTTGAATGTTTTCAAAACTTAAAACCATAATAGAGGATATGAATAATTGATACATGGCCTACTACTTTATCGATATGAAAACATAATATCAGATGTTCACCGAACTCAATACAACAAAATTATGTTTTAATCACTCATGGCATGTTTCACCATTGGAAAACACCGTACTATCTAAAATTGTAACGTATTGTCAATGACCAGGGGTCAGTTGGTCAGGCAATCACAACCAAGCAATATACTGCCCTACTCAGTCAAAGATGCAACTTTCCGGTTTTAAAAATTAAAATTGAGTCGAGTTAAACAAATTGGTTCGAAAATCCAAAACGCAACGAAAATTTAGCACCGGAATTTTGAAGATATACCCATTGCAGAAGAACTTCAAAATTCAAAGAAATTAATACTAATCGTATATGTAAATATCGGATCTCTACCAAAGTACTCTATAGCTATTGTTTGTATAATGATAAAATTAATGCCCATTCATAATATGCGGATATTAATTATTCCTGATCATAATGATGATCGAAAAATCCCATTTGGAATTAGACTTATAAAAGACATTCTAGATTTTAATCTCACCTCGAAAACAAGTAAAATGCAAATGTCACAGGAGTTCATTTTTAGTCGTGTTTAGACAAATACCAAATGCTGTAGTCCTGTGTTTTGGAAACTCTGCATCACATTTGAGAAAAACCAAAATCTGACGTCTACGTGACATTTTACATGCGTATTTAAAAAATTTTCGCCGATAAAAAATAATATTCAAATTTTGCCTCGGAAAGCGGAAGCAAGGTTACCAATTTTTCGTCATATGAATATTGTAATAGACACCAAAATAAAATCCGTTTCTGAAGAAATAAAACGGAAATAATGCAAAAACATAACGGTATATTTGCCATGATTTCAAAAGTGGAAAATATCGAAATATGTCAAATCCATTTGCCAAAACGGCCCGATTTTGAATCAAATCCGAGCGGTAAAATTGTTATGAAATACTCGTTATGAAACCTCGTACTATGCCAAGTTAAACAAGGTACACATTCCCAAACGGACCCATGCTTTTATCAGTTTTAGGATTCCCGTTGAATTTTCTATTTGTAGACTCTGACAGAATGCCCACTTTTAACGATTCCGTTAATCACCTGATGAAATCATTATTCAAGTCGGTTCCAGAATTTATTTGAGGTTCGATGTAACTAGAAGCGGGCACTTCGAATCGAATAGTATATTATCGAATCGGTTCATACGAAGATGAATTCTGAATCGCCGCCATATTGATTTTTATTGTTGGGCAAAGATCGAGGTGTATCTGTCAATTTTTTATTGAATTCTGATAGATGACTCTTTTCTTCCTGTAGTGAGTTATTGATGAAACATGTTTTTTATTGCGCTAGCTACCTGTCTGGGTGATGGATTCTGTGTTTTCAGTATACAATACAAGTCAAGTCACATACAATTACATACCGGTATATTCAAAAAAAAATCGATTCGATTCTGAAATCATGAGGTATTCGAAAATGCCCTGCACTGGTTGTAACAGTCTATACCGAACCATTAACTTTTATGTCACTACTTGCACATAGAGAATGGTTGAGAGCATAATTACATCTCATGAAACCAAAATTAAAAACCATGTATATATCTTATAAACGTGAATCATGAAATCATTAATGCTTGCAACCCAAACATACGATTACAAATAAATTTAATCCACTTTAAATTTAAGTATAAACTTGTCAAAAAAACGAACTGCGCTTGTGAAATATTTCTGCGATTCCAAATCTGAAAAAAAAACTGACTTAGGATTAAAAATTCAAGTTTATATTATCTAATTGTCGTGATCGTTTTGAACTTAAAAATCAAAATACAATAATATCACAATCTAGGTGAAATAAAGGTCATAACATATCAGTCGAAACCGCTTGTTTCGATTGGAAACATAGCACAGTTCACAGACGAAAATGGACACTTCGAAAAAAGAGGGCAAATTCACTGTAAATTCATTGTTTGCTGTGTGTGCAGAAGTGGGTGAAAACCCGGCTCCGAGTGGGGCTTGCCCTTCACCTCACCCAGAGTGCATAATTGAGTAGGCAATGCTAAACCACAAAGATTCTCCAGTGGATTCTTTTGCAGAGTCTTGTTCAGAGCGAAATGTGTATAAAACGTCGTATGTTAGTAAGTTTGTTTTGGGGTTTGAGTTCAAATTAGAAAAAAAGGGAATTTTGGATATTTTCATGAGTATAATAAAATGCGTTTTACAAACGAATATTGTACATATGTATGAATTGTTATTCGAAATTAATAAAACTGCTTGGAGAGATACAACAGCATATACTTTATTTATACAGTTCGCTACAAGGTATAATTCAATAATTACTAATAAGTCTTTGAAATGAGATTCTGATCCATGAACAATCCTTGAACAAATTCAAAATACTCATAGGGATACTTTCGTTGTAAAATATTTCCATCGTAACAACATGAAAACCTCAACAGTCAAATAAAAATACGAAAATGTTGCAATTGTCAGGTCGTCTCGTTTAAAACCGCTTTATTATTTAAGAGGTTTTCAGAGTTTATAGTTTATAGTTTTGTAAGGTGAGTATAAAGTGATGCTGAACTGAAGTTCGTGGTTTCTTGTTTTTATACTAAAGTACCAAAATTTAAATTCCAACCATCTTGGTTTTTGAGAGATCTGATTAGATTGTGATTATGGCAGAGTACTGGTGGTCGTATATTGAGAATGAAATATATGTCCTTCTGCTGCTTGTAACACACTTGTCCTAAATGTATTCTCATCTTTTCTGTAACATATCTATCTTAACACACAACATTTTATGCGCTGACTTTAACCACCTGCCCGCAATATAACCTATTCCACACTTGTCTCACTTGTCCTAATTGCACGAATCTCACTTCATATGAGAACTCTCATCTTCTTTGTAACATATCTATCCTAACCCACAACATTTCATGTACTGACTTTAACCGTTTGCCCGCAATATATTTTTCCAAACTAAGAACAGTGGGAGAAGTGTGTAACAAGGGGGACAAGACATTTTTGAGACGCTGAACGAAAACGACTAAGTCTCTCTTTGGGAAAAACTCCATATTAAAAAGCTAAATTCTTACTTTAACAATGTATCTTGTAAATGGTTCCAATCCCTTTATTGATGTTGAACCTCCGCTTACACTTGACTTTGGATTTTGAACTTGAACATCAGTTGGACAAGGAACACATGAAGAGTAATCATCGTTGCCACATTTTTCACATGAAACTCTAAAAAATGGAGATTTTGAAGAGAGAGTTCCTTATAGGTATCTATGGAAAAAGGTGAAAGCAAACCTGTATGTGATGTCGTTCCTTCCTCCGGTACTTTCTGGTCGAGTCCATCTTAGTAACACAAACGTTGCATTCATTTTTGATACAGTTACTGCTCTTGGTTTTGTAGGAGGTTCTGAAATAAAAGGAAGAATTAAAATACAGTCAATGGTAGAAAAGAATCAATATTTATGGTTCTCGTTGATAAGTTGATATTAAACACGATTTTCAGAAAACTGCCAAAAACAAAAAATGTATCACTGCGTTGGTATTTGGTAAGTATAGTCAATAAGCAGGTTATGAAAATGGAATATTCAGCCGAAACGTTGAAAAACCTGTTCGCTACGTCAATTATAGTAATACTGGTTTGAGAAACTTAAGTTAAAATGGAAAATGGTATGCCAAGATGTATAGGTATGGTACCTATTGTGTTGAAAACGCATTAATAATCGAAAATTTTCAGAAGATCGATTTGCATATTACAGATATTGGGGCTAATATATTGTTGAAAGCGTAAAACGAACTTATTTATCAATCACATTCAGTCGAAGATGAACATGTTAAATTCATGTGATTGACGTGAATTCTCATTAAAAATGTATTTAGAGAACGATTAGGTTAAAAAACATGTATTGTCGATTTGTTGGTACATTTTATGCGTCCTGTCATCGTAAAATGTTATAGATTATAGTCTGTATATCATTAATTTTTAATCTCGGTTTATCGGAATTTTGTTTTGTCGGAAGCATATAAAAAACCTCATTTTATCATTGTGCTTAATGCCGATACGTCACTCAATTTGATTCTGACAGTGACGTCACATGATTTCGTGGGAAAATTTGCATTATCGTCAGTTTTGTGAGTGACAGAGAGGAATTGAGAACTGATTAGAAACAAGCAAATACAAAGATTTTGGTTTAGGAATTATTGCGTCATAATATAAATATAACTCTATTTTGTAACTATTCTGATGGTAATTGTTGTCAGAACCGGAACTCCGGAAGACGGAATAGCTTTAAAAAACCAAAACCAAGATAATACCAAACCAGAAATATTCCTGTCTTTCTCAATATGGTAGTTCCATATGTATCAGCGGCTTTGTTAAATGAATGGTGGAAATGTGTAAAATATCTCATAAAATAAAAAATAAAACGGGAATTCTGTCCGGGTGAGATGTCTCGACTCTCGAATAGCGATTAATATTTTTTTTTCTATGAAAAATTTGCTTAATTAAAGCAAGGCCATTTGCAAGGAGGTGATCTGTGAGCAAAGATACCGTCGACTACTGAATTGCAAAGAGATACCGAAACTATGAAAAAAAATGCAGCATACAGCTCTAGTTTGTACATTCAAAAATAAGCGTTGTTTTTTTGAAGAAATTAATCCTCTTAAATTTGTTACTGTGTATACACTATACTGAACAATTCGTGCAGGAATGTTGTACTTTATCGACGAAAACGACATTTTCAAATCTGGTACGATAAACAAATAAAATTCGTCGCCAGGAGATTTCGACAAGCGTTCAAATTGATTGTCAGTTTTTTTCACGCGAAATTGCGTTCAAAAATATTTTTAGCATAATCAAACATATGCGTGTTTTACTAATAAAATAAAACAAAAAAGAATTCTAAACAAAATGAAAATATTTGAAATGCACTTGAAAGACAGTCGTAAAATTCAATGTATAATTTTTTTCATTTTCACTCTTACTAAAATACTGAGTTGTCTGAGATACTGGAATGGAGTGAAATGCTGTTTGAACGACTCCCGGACTATTAAAGGAAATACCTATTCAAACAAACAGAAAAAAGGATACCTGCTTCTATGTGACGGATTACAAAGGCATTCTCATAGCTGAGGTGTGGAAAAATCTACAAAAAAGTTATCTCTATATTCGAATTGTTATTCACTAATCTTCATTCATTATAAATCACAAATTGAGATGGAGAGTTTTTAAACTAAGTGTATCACATTTATTGTATTCAACAATTGCAGTGTATTCCTTTTAAGGTACTCCCGTAGTGTGTGTAACAGGTTAGAGTTAGGTTATTTTTTCATTCCGATTTTCCTTATTTTGGTCCTATTACGAGTCCGGGGACTGTCTGTGTTAGCTAGGTGAATATACCCCCAGCGCATAGGCTTCAGTTCTTTTACACAACTTGATGTATAGGCGAACAAAATTAATTACCTCCATATGGGAGACACACTTCTGGAGCGCCCTTATTAAAGTAGACCTACTTTAAAATGTCTACGAAACTTTGACAAAACAGGTAAAACTGCTATCTTTACCAGACATTAATATTTTTCTTCAAGATAAAAAGGTAGTTTTAAGATTCCTCAGATAAAGAAGTTAATGATAAGTTGACACTTCGACATTTAGATTAGATAGATTTTTCACGTGAGTCATTAGAAGCAATAAACTGACATTTCATATCATATACAAAGCGTGGATAAGATATCGTTTAGAATTTAGATTACATCTTAAAACTTGTAAAATTACAAACATTTCTCAGTAACACATAGCATTACGGTTTTGCCTGTATGTTTTCAAGCGTAGCAAACAATTTTCAAATGTTCAAGTTTAGTTTTTGGCCTCATATCTTCAAATAATAACTGTGTTTTATACCAGGGCTCTTTAAACTGGGGATCACGGAAGGGCTCAATGAGGATAGCGGTAAAATAAAAATCTTTTCCGATCGTAACTTATGTTAAAACAAAATATCGATCAAAATGCAATATTTAGAATCAGTACAAAACCAGCGAGAATATGCGAGCACAGGCATTGTCAATAAAGCGTTCCTACAATTTTGAAAAAAAATAGAAAACGATCCATATATGAACACTGGGTATCCGATAAGTTCAGTAGATGACGAAATGTACAAATCGGTAGACGGTTATTGTATCGGTCGGAACAAATCCATTTGTGTTTTTAAAACAACATTGGAAATATTTAATAAATGGTACGAATGACAGATTTAGCGCATTCATCGGGTAACATACGTATAAACACACTCGACCTACTGAACTAAAAGTTAACCCGTTACCAACAGCCTATCTTTCGAATACAAATTGTGGAAGGCCTGGTCATTTCCTATTTATTTTCTTATTTTTATGAAAAGTTTATTCGCGCTAGTCATAGACGCACATGAAGAAACACTAACTATCGACTTGTTAATGACCGACTGCAACTTCGCCCATATTAATTTTACGCGTGACCTTGCTTTGAGCAAGTATTTATCATATGAAAAAGGGAGAATCAGAGAGAAGCCACGAGAGGATCGGGATGCCACATGCCAGCTCGAACAATTGTCACCATAATAGAATCAAATATTATTGCAAGACGATCCGAATGCCTGAGATCTTGATGAAGTGCAAAAATGGCTGAAAATACATCTCAATATGTATATTCCATGAATTTTATGGCGAAAGAGTTCAAATACTATGAGGTTTCTACGGGTGGCACGTTCAACAAGTTGACCTTACAGAAAAATGTGGCAACAGATATTTTCACCTCAACATACAAATACGATCTGGTACGCCACGAGTTAACTTCTGACCCGGCGTAAATGATGAGATAAATCCAGCATTCCAATGCCGGCTCTTGTTCAGATACAAAAGCGATAAGAGGCAATAGTGCTTTATATCGGTTTATAGAGGTCAATTGTTATGTGGTTTTGTTAAATGCCGTGAAATTCGAGAAATTTTAAGCCGTTGGGAAGGGGAAATACTCAATGGATCAAACGAATAAGGAAAAAATCTGGCATCGCAGACCAAATATACGAGTCTATAACAGAATACTAGATTTTATAAAAGATAATGTAAAATGAATCCCTATTGTACACTATGAGTAACTAAAGCAAGATAACGCAAATTTATGTATGTAATGACAAAATATTTTTACCGGCATTATTTTGGCTATCCACGCTTCATTGAGTTCCGCGAACAATAATACTGAATCCACTGGAGAGCATGGGGAAATACAGAATGAAGATGCAGCGAAACATCAAAGCACACGTCTATACTTGGCAAAACGCAATTTGGCCTTATAATAATAATTTTGCTATAAATTAATAAATTGAGTTATTTGCATAAAAGACCCGACATAATTATAAAACATTCCCGGGTTTTAATAGCCCACAAAAAAAAATTCGAAAAATCGATTATGGTTTTAAAATTAATTCGTTAATGACTAAGCAAAACATTCTAACTGACGAACCGAAATCAGATAACCGAAGATGTCACAGTTTCCACAGATAACGAAAGTCGTGCTGAATATCCAAACATAGTTAACCTGCGAATCCACATTCCTAGACAATGACAAAATAGGGAACGTTGCTCAGGTTATAGCTTTAGTTCCGCCATTTTACCAAGGTCTCGAACCGGGCATCGCGACTATTGAAATTTAAAGATATTATAACTAAAGATAAATAGGTAAGATGTCAAGTGATCAAAAACCGACCCGTTCTGACACTGAACATAAAAGTAACATGATTGTCAAGATTTCCAACTGTTAGTGATATTTGACATTAGTAGAACGAAAAATATTCCAAACATGAATCAAGCGAGAGTTTGCTGGAGTCACATCTGAATGCCAGCTGCCCAGTAACGACCATTCACATTTCATCCCTATGATCAGTGATTAGCAGCATATTTTAAAGAAGCGCTTTCAAAAACATATTTACCAGAAAGAATTCAGAGCTTCCTATTATTTTCAGTTACTTCCGACGTGGCACACATACAAATAGATATTGCGTCATTTTACATTTTGTAACAGATATACAAAATTCAAATTGTTCCTCTGATGTAAAACCACAAAAGTTCAACTCTTTCACTGGATGCTATTTTCAACATCTAACATCAATTTAGACTTACGTAAGGCAACATATACACACAGTAAATAAATTGTTATCAATATTCAAATCGTAACAATAGAAAGTCCCAAATCTATTTCTGACGAACGCCATGAAAACGTATTAGGCGCAATACTCCGCAGTCCGAACTGATCTGTTAAAGTTCAGTTTGACTTGGAAAGCGTGGATTTACAGTGAATGAGCGCATCTCGGACCATGTATCGATGAATGTAAAATTTTTGATGACGATTTCTGGGGCTCACGGGCTAACCAATAGGCTAAGAAAATTATGCTTGACATTGTGCAATATTGGATCAAAGGGGTTTCTAAATGTCAAGTTTTATGGGTAAACATGCTGCCGCGAATGATTTACGACAAGATAAAAATCGTCCAGGTCGAGTCAACAAATATAACTTGAAATTTTAATTTGAGATGATCGTAAAAATTCCTGATCGTTCGCAACTGAATTCAAAATTTCAAAACCTACATCGCTTCTCGTGGTGGTTTTAGCGAGAACTTGTAACAGATTGTGATAATTTCACTACCCCGTCTGTTTAGTGAATTTATTTGGAGTTATTTAGGTGGGACAAACTGCCGTTTCTTGATCATATTAAATGAAATTTTCTAGAAGTCTGGCCTTACATTTAGTTAGATTTCGGCTTATCTGAATGAATCTAATTCCAGAAAAATCGTAGTCAATTCAATGTTTAAAAAAAAAGGAATTTTGAGCGTAAACTGAATTCTTATAAATTTTAAGAATTTCAATCTACATTATCTACATTCTACAAGATAGATGTCATTTTACATAAGTTACAAAATATAAAAAGCTCCTCAACTCATAACTCATTGAAAGTTTCCAAAGGAAATCGCGAGATTACGGAGCTGAGAGTTTTAGCGTTGATTCGTTGATACATATCGTGCTCGCACTTCTTTCCGTCGAAAACATCCATATATATTTATTTCTACGTAAAGATTGACACAAAGAGTGTGGCGCAATCTCGCACACTTAGTTTACCATGCCATTGGCATTTTTATGATCAAAGCCGAAAACTCCCTTTTATTGGCTTTGAACTTTTTATAACCGAAACGATAGGTATTGAATGATGGCGTATCACCAGCAATTTTCACTCATAAAACACCACAACAACAGACGAATTAATTTTTTACAGACAAGCGAGGGAGACTGATAACTCGAGTTTCGTAAGTAAGATTTAACAATAATCAAGCCTGATCAATACCAGCTCAATCACCAAAGAAGTTTTTTCTAAAATATAATTAGATTCACAGCTAAAGCAGAACACAGAACTCACAATTTAACAGCAATGATATTAACTTTAATGCTGCCAAAAAATTCAATGACGTAATCGAACTCAGGAGGGACTATTTACGACAGCATATTCTAGTAATAACCCCATGTTTTCCAACCCCAGAGGAATTCCTACCCAGGGTGGGACTACCCAGGATTTTTGTGGCAAAATTTTTCCTGTATTTGCTGTAGTATTACTACTACTAGTATTTCTTTATTCTTACTTATTTATGTACACGAATTATACTGTACAAAAGCGGAGTGAGACTTAGGCATAATCCTAGTTAGGGATGCCTTAACCATTGAATAAATGACTATTTATGCATAATCAGGGAGAGACACATAGTTCCAAAAGAGAAATATAAGGAAAAGGTGTTGGAATCACTGTGGTAACCTATACTCGAACATTTTGACACGGTTTAATACATAGAACAAATATCTGGTTGACATTATGAAGTCTCTGCATTATAATCTTGGAGTTGCACGATTACCCACTGACATGGTTTTGGATCGACTTTTTATTTTTAATTCAAATAACAACTCAGTTGAAAACTGCAAATCTATAAAGATACCTTGCGTATTGGACTATTGGGCCCCTGGTTACACATAACTATGAATCCTTCCTGTACAAGTAATAATGTTTAGTAATTGAAAACCCATTGTAGCGGGGAAATCAAATGAAAATGTGTATTTCACTACAAGACACTAAAAGACACGTTATAGATATCTCTAGAATTATAGATCTTCAGTTATTAAATATAGTTATTGTCGGTTAATCCTATCAATCGACACTAACTATAGCACAGTTATAGTTTAGTTATTAAATATCTGATACCAATACAAAATATTTTAACGGGAACACTCCGGCCATGTATGGCATACTGTAAAACATTCCTAATCAATGCTTGTTTGGGGTTGAATAAAGATAAAGTTTTTCATATAATCAAAGGAAAATATTTTCAACGCCAAACAACGCCAAACAACGCCAAACAATCGTTGGATGAAGCTGTCGTCAAAGATTATTAAACTAAATATAGCACTCCTATTGAGGATTGTCGCAATATCACAGGAAAAAGGGTTATTATACTATTTACATACGAAATCGCCTATTCGATTGGCGGCCTTTGCATGGCTCTTACTAGATGAAGGAAAAATAATGACAAATAAATACAAATAAAATAATATTCCAATAAACGATATTTTCATTTAATATTCACACACCGTGTCGATTTGCAAATCCGTTCAGGAAATTTGTAATAATTTCACACAATTAGGCATGGCCAATTATGGAGCGGACAGTTTAAGCGCGTTTCATCCGTGGCGCATAGTCGAAAAAATCGTATTTTGATTAAAAAGTTCAATAGTCACGGTGAATACTTTAATTTAAATGTTGATAAAATAACGAATGGTTAACATAATGAGTTGTGAACTGATGTGAATTTTTTTTTCTTCGGTCTGACTTGGAAGATTTACGAAAGTAAAAAAAAAACATTTTGACCACAAATGGTAAAATACATTTTTAAACCTATGTCTTGGCTAAAACGGTAATGAGAGTAATAAGGCAGAAAATTGAAAATGGCAACCTCGATATCAACAAAAACTCAACTAAATTTTGAAATTGTACCAACATCGTGATTCATGAATATTTAACAAGAAAATTTGGAATGATAAAAAAATATTAGCTGTCCCTCTTTCTAGCGACTTTTGAATATTAAAGTTTCGAAAATTGGAAATTCGATGATAAAAGATGTTTTCACAACAACAACCAAAAATACCGCAACAAGAACAATAACTCTTTCGTGCACTGGGCTATATAAAGCAATAGTAGATCAGTTGAGTTAGAACTTATACTTGCTTTGTAGTTCTCATTCGGTGTATAACTGTAGTAATTTCCCTTTATGTATACATGGAGCTAACTAACGAATACAAAACCTTCACAAACGCAAATAAAAATTGAGTAAAATTACCGAAGATAACTTACTGGTACATGGTTCAGTCTTCTTTTCTCCGGCAGCGCGAAAGAATCCTGGTAGACATCTGCAGAAATCAAGTCCGGCGCTTGGTATTGAAGTTGTGTTACTGGATACACTGGGACCGCTATTCGCAGGACAAACTGTGCAATCGTCGTTTCCTGCATCGGCCTTGAAAGTACCGGGAGCACAAGCTGAAATAAACACAAATTTCGAAGATAAGAAATTATTTAAGTTCAAAACAAGTATCTAATACTCTTGAGGACTACATTGCTATTATTAAAATCTGTGGAGCCGGAGGTACCAAACTTCCCAGGTCGAATTTTCGACAGAAACTCAAAACGTAAAAGTTTACTGGGCGTTCTAAACAGTTTATCTAAAAATGCTTGAATTTGCCAACTTTTTGTTCTCGGGGTTCAGAGAGGAAGTCAAATTTTTTCGTGACTCGACATCCCAGCTACTTTCACATCATAAGAAAAACGGTAACCGCTAGATGACGTTTTTTATGCGAATATACTTATTGATTGTCAACTACGTTGATGCCGAGTGGGCGCAGACGGTAAACACTATATTCCAGCCTTTTGGATGCCCCGTTTGACGATGATCATCGGTCGAAAATGCGGTTTAGGTAAACAGGAAATGAGATCTATCCAATATTTGCAAAAATTGAGACTCGCCTCGATTTTGGTTCACGATTTTTATCGTTCCATCCGAGCATGGGACGTTGTTAATACGTACTTAAAAAGCTTTCTTTATCAAAGACTCAAGCTCGATTGACCGCGAAACAGATTGAGTGTTAAATGAAGTCGAGTGGCTTTGGAAAAAATCTCAAGCAAACACGACTTTCTTTCGATATCTCTTTTGAAGTTATTTCTAAAGGGTGTGTGCGTTTTTACTCGATTGGTAAACACCATTTTATTCTTTCGAAATTTTCATAAGAAGAATCGGTTCAACTCGAGCCATTTACAATGGCTAAGAATTTCGTGAAACTGTTGAGGACTTAATCATGGTTTAAAAACTTGCCACAAAAAACTTGATTTCAATAGATATTTAAGAAAATCAAAGTATTCTCTTCTACTTGGGACAGGTACACAGTAAAAAAGCTATCTGCTTACTTTTACACTATACGATCTGAATTTACCTACAAAATTAGCAGAGCGAAAACCTACTTAAATTATGGAACTACGTGAATTGAGAAACATCTCATGCGACCATACAAATCTGCAATTTCTGGGCGCAAATATAATATTTTTTTAGGAAATTTGCTGTAAACAAGGTCACGTGCATTCACTTAAACAGACAAATGAAAATAATCTCTGAGCGAAGTTATGGGCGATCACTAAAGTGTCAAGATGTACCGAGATTCTAACTAAGGAATTAAAGCAAATAATGTCAATACAATCAGCATTGTTAGCTAGCAATGCAACAGACATTTTTACAATAACATATATCTTCTTATCGTATCATCATTTTCGCAAGAATAACCGTCGTCATAATACCACTATTTGTATAATCTTAAAAAGCGACAAAATAGCGACCTGAATACTGAAAGTACTCATGAATTCGTGGATGTTTTCGTTCAATCAAGAGGGTCTCTTGCGGCGTAATTCGTGCGTCGCTTGGTTGACCTGGCACTGATTCAAATGTCGTACACAAGTGACTTGGAATATTTTAAGTAGATTAAAATACGATGGATTAGGAAAACAAGGTAGAATATGATTGAATGGTGATTATAATAGAAACAAAAGTATAGATTTTGAATACTGGAATACATTTCAGTCACTGATTGTATACCTATGTGTTGCTTGTTTGTGCAGATAATCAAGTAATCGATTTCACATTTGCAATACTTCAAGATGGGAACAGTCGATAGATAAAACGCCATTTTTTTCCGATGCCTACTGTAACTACCACCAATCGTGTGAAAAGATCAACTGTTTGACCAAATTTATCTCATTTCTAACATCACAATTCTAATAGATATGGACTAAATGTCGTCAAAACTTTTGTTCAAGAAAAAGTTTCACATCGGGTCAAGGGTCAAATAGATAAATACTTTAACGTCGATACAAATCATGCGCAAAATGTCGTTTTCCCGCAGATGACGGGACAATTGTTCCCTACACGCCCGAAATGATCATTCTATCCAATATTCAAGCCGCATAGTGTAAACTATGTCGAAAACAGACACCTTCCCACCCACAAAGTATGTGGCAACAAACCACCAGGGGTCGGGCTCGATTTCTTCATGAAAATCGAAAATAGAAAAGTTATCGCAAACCCAAAAACCCCAAAGAGCGGATGTCGATGTCGGTTGTTTAGACTCCACTTACATTATTTGATAATCCGACTACGTCACACCCTCCATCTTGAAAAATCATATCTCACCAAAGATGGGACATACAAACAAGCATCACTTATCTATGATCCATACTTGACCACGAATAACGAACGAAGAAGAGAGACGCATGCAAAACAAGCACTTCGAAAAGCTGTGCCAACACTGTTTCAATCCATGCGAATCCAAGTGGGGTCTTCTATGGTTGCGTATATAATTAAGTATTTGTAAACCACTCCAAATTTAGAAGATTTACAAGACTTGTTGTGTACATGTACTTCGATGCATTGGGTGTAGAAATTGTCTGTTTGAGACATTTGTTTGTGTCGTTCATGTTTGAGACTTTTCTGAGCAGTTCAACCCTACAACACGCGAATTTCGGAATCAAAGCAGACAAAATGGTTTAAACTAGACCCAATTAAAAAACAAAAGAATCTGTAATTATTGCCGATCAATCAATAATTATTCAAAGTAATTAATTGTTACAATTACATTAAAAGTAAACATAAACTTGTTGATTGACATTTTTGAGATGAGAAAATGTTATTATTATTACCCCGATTACAATCAAATTCAATTCAAAATATTCAAATTTATCTTCGGGATCAATGAAATAGCTTTACAAAAGGTATTGAATATTGCACTTTAGTGAAGCTAGTAGTTACAGAAACTCAATTTGGCCAGCATAAGGTTTGGTGCAATGAAGCGCGAGAATGCATATGATCTCTGAGTTTCATCTTTAGTCATTGGGCCAACCCACCCACCCGTTTTACCCACGGTGGAAACACTAGACAAGCTGTACCAGGTAAATATAATTCTAACCCCACATGACAGCAGCCATGTACGGAAGCGGTGTAAAAGTGGTATGCATTGTATTATATTTAACAAAGCCAAACACAACTACGTGAGTTGTGCAAGGGGTTATTGAAGTTGCAACACATGGAACCAAATATTGATCGAACAAACTTCCTTATCTTTGTGTGAAAACATGTTTGAAAGTGTCAGATCTTTGACAGAAATAATGAACCAAGAAATGCAACGATATTATATTTGGAGGCCATAAGCGAATATCTATAACGAAGATAAATTATACCCAAGTCGAAATTCATCACATAACTTGGAACTGTGTGTAGGATATTTTACATGTGTGTTATTTACTAAACTTATGACTATGCCTCATATGTGATTACTTATACATCTCATGGATTTACGTTGTTGTGTATTTGTGTGATATATCGTTATGTGTAATAAACAAGTTGCTCTGAGCATTTTTATGTGTTAACTTTTTTTCAACTAAGTATTGTGACGCAAATGTGCCAAAGTAATTTCCATGTGCATATATAATTTTATATGATAAAGCTTGTTGAACTTGAATCACACATACACAAGTGTTATAGAAATATCTATCTATGTGAAAATCAGTACTGTATGTGGTTACTGAGCTTGCAAACAACAAACTGGCATCCCACGCATGAATGTGCACTATTCACTCAGGTATATTTGAGAATGTTGCTAATCACTGACAGTAAGCAAATATACAGAAGATTAAAGATGGTAACACCTGAGTCGAGAGTGTGTGAAAATTGGTTTGGTAAACGAAGAAATTGAAAAATTGTATTTGTGAGGTCTTTAAAGTTTCAAGTCAATGGATAAACACAAACAAAGTGAATAGTATTCATAGCACATAACGTGTCGGTGTGGTCGACTGTCGAACAATATTTAGTAATCCGAAGAACTGAAGATTAGTCTGGGTTTAGATATGTTATATGTATTTCCATGAGTCGTTATCATATATTTCCATTTTTAATAATTCTCTATAAAGGCGTGTAAACCATCTGATTTTATACGGGCGTATCATTCTTAGCTAACTAATCATACCTATTGAATTTTTTACGTTCTCGAAGAATTGATGGGCTAGGATGGAACAGGTAACACTGGTCAGGCCTCAAAATTGAAAATCGCATTGATAGACATAGCTATACAAAAACCAATCCGCGTAACCACTATACAACGATTGAACACACAATTTCCAAGCGGTTTAAATGGATATAAATAGCAGTACCTAAAAAGTTTCCGTATAGATTTTCAGACTACTGTATTTGGTATTATTCAATTATAGTTTAACGAAAGTCATATGTTTCCCTTGGCTGTGCTCATAAGCGATCTACAGACTTGGTGACCCATAAAAGGCAAAAGAAGACTCATCCATCTTATTGGCCTGAATACTGACCATCGAATGGTGTTTGTACACCTGATAAATCGTTGTATGCTCCGTTTCGGATCGTCAACTTCAACCAATTATGCGGAAAAGGCGAATCGGCTTACAGGGTGTGGAAATATGCGATGTACCCACCGGATCAGAATAATATGGAAATCTTTAAAATCCACTTAAAGCCAAGGCATAACGATACATTGTGCGATTATTTTCATTATCACGGTATGCGAGTTATTGAGAAAATCACTTTACTCTTCGCATACACTTAGAAAGGTCTGGTAAGTTCTGTGTAATAAAACATGTTTTTGGAAAAACAATCAGCTCGTGAGACGAACACGCAAAAATTAGTTACATTTTCAAACGCTAAAATGTTATTACACAACATCGATATGACAATATACAACACAGAATAAATAAACAAAATTTGAAATTAAATTCGAAAAAATTCTTGTTACAATTCATACGCAAAAAGGAGTGAATTGCCAACCTATGTTGAATACCATTCACCTATCTCCGTAATCTTTCATAATTTTACGATTGGAATGTTCATTCTTCCACGGCACATACGTTCCATAATTAGAATCAATTTGATAACATTTGTTAAAAATTAAATCGAATCCCAAGTTGATATTTGAATTTAA